GTTTAGAATACACTCCATATCCAACTACTCCTAGTGTTTTCCCTGGAAAAACACTTTTTTTTTTAAAATGTATTTTTGGATGAGTTAATATCCTAGGTGTCTGCAGTTTTTTAAATGCAATTTGCACTATGCTAAGGAAAGGGGGGGGGGGGAGAACCACACACCACACAGGAGCTATTAATCAGCACCAGACCATGACACATTTTAAAAGTGCCTTCTCTTGAATTTCAACCAAAGTATTCCTGTTGTTTTGTATTTTTAAATAATTACCACCTTTGGAGTAAGGGCAACTGTACAGGCAAGACAATCAAACTCAAACAATTCATAACTTTGCAGCCATCTTTTCACAATCTAAAATATTTTAGACACGCAGTATCTTTGATGTTTATGCCTGAACGCTTTACTTTCTGTAGTGTGCTTTCATTCTTTAATAAAAAAAAAAAATTGGTACAGATCTTGTAAACTTGGTTTGTCTCTGAAGTCTTCAGCCAAAAGCAAAGGAAATAAAATACAATTCACCATCTTCTCTAACAAAAAGTAATCTAGTCATCTTTATAGCTGTTCATGATACTTTTAAAGTCCGCAGTAAATTCACAAGCTAAAATATCATTAAGCCTATAGGAAAAAAGGAAGAAATTTTAATGTTTTGTATTTCACTCTCCCACAAATATCCTACATTAAAAAAAAGCCCACCCTAATATTTATTTTGTGAATCCTTCTCCTATGATCTGTTTGCTTGGCTAGAGAATTTTGCCTGACAAAAGTAATAAACGTTCCAATTCAATTTCCATGTTGAGATGGATTTAAAAACAGAAACCATCTTCTTTGTGTTTACTAAGAGATATACACTCCAACATTTAGTGTCATGGAGCTGAGTTAAAACCAGAAACGGTGAAGATAATTTAGCTACGTGAATGCCTGCTCTTTAGTGAAATGCTGCCAAAATTAAATAGGAATGAAACAGCACTTTGTAGTCATTGGTCGCTCAGCAGGGTTTGCGTAGTTAAAAACCTAAGTGAAAAGGGTGATTGACCTACATTGCTACTAGCTTAGCACAGCTGTAGTTTCATATTTTCACTGCTTCCGAGGAAGCTCATTATTTAATGCAACTGAGTTACATTTAATTGTCAGCCTTTCATTTTACACTTTGGGCCAGATATTAGTCTCAGATGTGCGGCACACATTACCGTGCATCTGGAAATACCCACTGCGGCACATGTGTGCGCAAGCAGAGTAGCAATCCTTAAGATAGGGCCACGCACGCTTTGCGCCTGAAATAAGGATGCTGCCCTGTGGTGCTAATGAACATGCAAAAAAGTCAAGTGAGCAGACAGAGTAGGCAAAAACCTTGCCACCCGAGAAGGGTAACAATGAGCAGTTTTCCATTTTAAAGTTCTTTTTGTAAAAGTTCCCTGTGAGACATAACTAAAGCATATTTCATACAACTCATACCTGTGGTTTAAGTAAGTAATAACCTTCCAGTTAACAACCAGTCTGATATGTTAACAGCCCAAGGGCTGTTAACATAACAACTGGTCATTAACTGCCATAATGACAGATTTCAAAGAGAATGATCACTCTTGTAAATGGACATGCTGCCAGTCAGAATGGAGTACAGATTGGGATAGGTCGATACATTAAGATGTCATTTCACATTTCTGGAGAAAAACTGTTTGTATTAATAGTACGTTCCATTTACTATAATTGGATGCAAAATATGAGAGTGAACCTAAATTCCTTAAATTAAGTCTTCACTTCTTAACCTAAGAGTGTGTGAGCAGGAGACAGAAGCCTGCAGGGAAACTATACTCTGCATCTCATTTTCATGGAAAGTTATTTCTAATACTGAGACCTTTCTTGATACAAATGAATTTCCTTCCTGGTTAACAGAATAGGGCTCATTCCTGCAGCACCCACCCCAACTGCCCCTCTAATTGATGTGAATTGTCCCTCTGAAGTCACTGGGACAACTCACATGTGTAAGGATGAGGCCACCAATGGATTCTCTGGGGCATAGCTTGTTACATCTTACTACAGAGACGTCCCCTGCTTAGAAAGCAGAAGTAACATTAGTTTAACATCATTAACTAGGAGAGTTAGTTTGAAGAGTTCAGGAGTTCCAGAAATCCAAGGAGGTTATATACTGCTAATCACAAGGATATCAAGGTGCTGATATTGAGAAACTACTACTTTTCAGAATGAATTTTTAAGTACACACACAAGATTTGAAGAAGGGTGAAAGACAGGAAGCCTCCCTGCAATCAACCTCCTTCCCCCAGTTTGATAATTGGACCATGTAAAGCACACAGAGTGGCTCCATTGTTGCTTATATAATTTCTGGAATGTCTGTCTTATTGAAAAACTATGAACAAAGAAATTGTTAAACTATTTTACTCTTTTAGTCTCATTGAAGTCACATATCCTCTAGAGGGCACCACATAAATTAATAGGAAGCTACTACAATTTTATATTTAACTGACTAAAACTCCGTTTACAGTTAATAAAAAAAATTGTAAGAGGATAGTTTGAAGCTGTAATCTAACCCTAATCTGTTCATTAGTACAAAGTAATTTATTCTTCATATTCATATCAAATAAGTTTTCATATTTTTGTAAACTATTTGCCTACAAAGCTAGAGAAGAACTAGCTTCTTCATTAGCATTATAATGAAGATTACTTGTACAGGTTCACTGCATAAGTAAGTAATAAGGCAATGAGGAATAGGACTATCTGCAATTACCTTAAGTGCATCAGTTTGAAGTTTAGTGTAAATACAAAGTTTGAGTCTATGCACTCGCAAATATGACTACAGAATAAGCACCATGACTAGATTTTGATGATTCCACAGCCAGATGAGAAATATTTAAACCTGATTTATCTCCTGTTAGTTGTAGTTACACTAATCAGAAAAGCAAGTACCGTGTATAGATGATAAACTGACTTACATGCAGGTTTCGAGTGTGGTTATATTCAGACAAATGACTATGTAGAAACGGGGCCCCTTCCTACGAGCGTATTAGGTCAAACGGTCTTCAAGCTCAATCTACTGGAAAACCAAGTTTTCACTCGAGCTAACCGTGCAGAGCCCAAGCAGCCATAGAACAAGAAGCTGGGTTCTAGTCTGCACCACACAACAGATCGGTCTTGATCATTTTTTGCTGTTGATTTGAGAGGCACAGGGAACACATCTTTATTTCAAGATCCCAAATTTGCTTAACTCACTGATAGCAAATACAAAGACACCGATAAACCTGTAACTTTGTCATGGCTTTTTCATGTGACTTTTTTCACTACTGCGTAATCATTTGAAATAGAGGGGGGTGGGGAAGATCTAATTTTCTAACAAATTTTTAAGAAAAGCTAGATTGTCGCCAGGAAACCAGCTGTTTTTTTCTGCATTTTGAGACCATGGCCATGAGCATATGACTGACAGTTGTACATTAATTCCTTTAGATATGGTTTCCAGCCTTTTCAAGCAACTGTACCAATTTGTTGGAATAAGACCTCACTAGGTACGTCACTGGCACCCTCACCACAAGAATCTCAGGGTCCAAACTCTATGGTGAGCTCCGCCGCACCTGTACTACACTACCTTGCATTCAGTTTAGTGTTCTCGAACCTGTAATGGTGGGCTTCACAAGGAAAACCACACCACATTACACAAGACTGCGTTTGAAGTGCCTCAAGTTGTATCGCAGATCAGAGAGTGCATAACTGAATAGGAGGTACCAAGCAGCAGAGCTCACACCTGTGTTCTCCTCCCACAATCTGATCATCGTTAAGGCAGGGAGATGTAATGAGGCCAGCCAGTTGAGTACCAGTCATCACCATTACAGTATTTTACATTAATTTGTGTTGCTACATTTTTCTGGGGTATGTGGCCATTTTAGACCTACCACCTCATCTATTTTAGGTCTTGTCTGCACAGTGGGGTAATGTGTTTTACCAGGGGGAGAGTTCTAACATGCACTAACATATTGTACATTAATGGGTCCGTGTAGACTTTGCTGGGGTGCACTTAAGGGTCCCTAGTGCATGTCAACGTAGCACTGTTTTAAACTAGGGTGACCAGACATCCCGATAAAATCGGGACCATCCCGATATTTAGGTGTTTGTCCCGCGTCCCGATCGATCTTCGGTCGGGACGCTGCACTCCGCCTTTTTTTTTTTCTCCGCCGGCAGCACTCGGCTGTTCTCGGCTTTCGCCCCCCTCCGACTGCCAGCAGCACTCAGTTGTTCTCGGTTGGTATTTCCCCCCCTCTCCTGAAAACCAGAGGCTCCCCCACTGTAAACTGATCCACACATTGCTACCAGTCTGGACCCAGCTAGACTTGCATGTCAGAATGCAGAGTGAAAGGAAAAGTTACAGCAGTTGTTACTTCTCTGCTCTGTCATTAGGGTGATGAGCATGGTGTAAATACCTCGACTCTGAAGGTATGCATAGCTAAGGGAGGGTGCATAATCTCCTCTGACTGCCCGCAGCACTCGGCTGTTCTCTGCTCCCCCCCCCCCCCCCCGACTGCCCGCAGCACTGGGCCACAGTAGGGAATTGTGAGAGGGAGCTGTTTGTGTCATTACAAAGTGGACCAATTAATCTGCAACATATTAGTGAGCTTTAGAAATGTAGAACTCTGCACTTTTGTTATAAGAGGTAGAAAGGATTCCTCCAAGTTAGGGCAGAAGCACCGCAGAGTAAGAAAGCTACAATGCTTGCACTCTCCTCTCAATAGAAGGCTTCAGACTCCAGTGTTGTCAGGCTGACAGCTACACATTTTACACTGAACACTATACTTTAAGAAGGTACGCAGTGGGTTACTTCAAGTGGAAGTATTTTCTCTATCATGGCATTTGTTTTATCTGTGCAGTACTTAAAATATAGTACTGGGCAAAGATTTTATAGCAGTCAGGTGTTTATTGTTCCAAGGTCTCTCACTGTGGAAGAAAGATTGAACAGGACTACAATGCTTACATACTAGACAACCATAACAACTCCCTCCTACCTCAGGTAGTCTCTGCGACAAAGGATAAGGTTGGCTTTGGTGTACAAGGTGGAGCCCACCTCCCCCAAACGACAGTCACAGCAAGCACACTTCAGGCAGTCCTCATGCCAATATTTGTCCAGGGCTTTTAGAAGATATCGGTCCTTGATCTTACGGTTGCAGCCAGCACAACCTTTCGGCTTGGTGTCTGGCTGGACTGAGAGCATTTGTATACCTGAAATAAAACAAATGAGACAGAAGAATGAGATCAACAACAGTCTCCCCTTCACAGATGTGAATTTTTCTTCCTAATGCATAAAGAGACAGCTCTTTAGACGAAGTGCATGATCTAAATAGTTAATATCACATTGACAATAGCATTAAGATTCATTTAATCTAACTGGTTAGTGCAGATCTCTGCTAGGTTCCTTACCTTCTCCCCCACATCCCTGCCTTCTCAGTCACTTGGCTAAAAATTGCTATATAGTGGGTTAAAAAAAAATCAATTTCATATAAAATGTCAAATTTCTAATGGCCAGAAATTTGAACAAATCTGAGGAAGAGTTGAATCAGAAGCCAAAAAATATTCTGAATTTGATAATATTTAGTACTAGGCACATCCAAAGGATTCACAAATATTAAGCACAAGTGTTCCCAATTTTATAGGTGGGAAAATTGAAGCAATTAGGAGGTACAAGTCTAGTTTTTTCCAGAGTGCTCAACATTTGGGGCTAGATCTCTGGGCGCTCAGTTCCCATTCAGGCACCTAAAGAAAGTGACCAGATAGTGAAAAGTAGGGGGTGCTGAGAATTTCTCTCGGTGAGCACTTTTCATCCAGACTAAATAGCATCAAAGCTTTATTGGCCCTAAAATGACCTGCACAAGGTCAGTGATTCACTGGCAAGCAGATCAACAGAATCCACTTCTCCTGATTCCCCAGCTCTGGCCAGTACACAGTGCTATAGAACAAGACCATTTTATGAACTAACTCCTGCTATAACAAACATTCCTGAAGAGAAGTAAATGGAAATATTATAGCTTTAGATAACAGTAAATGCCACTTATAAATGAGATGTTGAGTGGCTGACATCTACTTGTAAGGAAGGGGAAATAGATGGCTATGAGAACTGGAAATGATACTACTATGGGCTTGTCTACACTTATCGGGGGATCAATGTGGGGGGATCGATGCATCGGTGGTCGATTTAGCGGGTCTAGTGAAGACCCGCTAAAATCGACCGCAGATCGCTGTCCCGTTGACTCCTGTACCGCACCTGAATGAGACGCGCAAGGGGAGTCGACGGGAGAGCATCTCCTGTTGACATAGCATAGTGTGGACCCTGCGGTAAGCAGAGCTCAGTACATCAACTTCAGCTATGTTATTCATGTAGCTGAAGTTGCATAACTTAGATCGATCTCCGTCCATAGTGTAGACAAGGCCTTAGATGCTGTATCAACAAGGACACAATCAGGAGTAGGACCCGACTGCACTAGTTTTAACAGTGCACAGGGTAAAAAAACACATCTGCCCCCAAAGATCTTGAAAATGAATGTCTCTAGGTTACTAGTTTGAATCCCCACCCCAGATCCGCATAGTTATCAGACTTGTTCTTTAAAATCCAAGCATTTCTCTCCCCTGCCCCCAGCATCTCAAAGTCCTCCCATTTTAAATGTCTAACAGGGCTACATTATTGCTCCTTGCATTACAGCAGGCAGGCAGCAGAGAAAGAGCAAGAGAGAGCATGCACCACACACACTGACTCATTACTATATTTTTTCCAGGGTTTCAAGCCAAGCCTATAAGTTTATCTATTTTTAATAAGAGTGCACCCAATTATAAATATTACAATCAGTTTCTCACAGCCAAATGTGAAAGATCTGAGCAATACAATAATGAACCCCAACCCAGAAACAAGTGTTACTACCCACACTCATTGCTCTCCCTTCTCAGGCAGAGGTTGGGAAAATAGTAGAGCTCTGCTCCATGCCTTGAAGGTCAGATGTGGGCTCTGTGAGAGCAATGAAGGAAAGCAGCATCCAGAGTTATGGACTCTTCACCAAGGATGCCCTACCACCTACTGTTATAAAAGCTGGGGACTGCAAGATTTAGTTTATCAGATGATCTCAACTGTTGTGATAACATACCAGAAGGCAGAAGCAGTCTGAGGTAGCTATAATCTCTTACCTAGTTCAGGTTAAGCGAACACAAGCCAACAGGAAGCCAGTGTAGACTTTGAAACACTGTTATAATATACCTTTATGGCTGTCACCACTAAGACAAGCTGCTGCATTCTGCGCCAGCTGTAGTTTCCAAGTGTAGTTGCAAGGAGAACACGCGATTACTGCCGTCTGCATAGATTCTAGATCCCATTAAGAGGCTTTTGGGGGGGGGGGGGGGGGAGGCAGAGGGAGTAACTTAAGTTTTACCTCAGAAGCTTTGTGGTCACTGAAGTTAGAACAGTAATCCCGACTCGCACTGTGGCATTCCCCTAGTATAGTCCCATTCCCCCACCATCTATTAGTCATTTGTTAGATTAACATTTCATTACATAGAAAATACTTAGTATGTAACCCAAAGCAACCCAAAATACAACAGTGCTAATTTGAGATGTCAGCAGCTCAAATACTGAACAATTTTATTTTTCTGTCTCTGTGTACTGCGCCCCCCCAGCACTGTAGCATCTCTCAATTAATTGATCCTCACGGCTCCCAGTAGAGAGATGGACATAATCCCCATTTTACAAATGGGGAACTGAGGCACAGATTAAGTGACTTTCCCAAGGTCACATGGGAAGCCCACAGCAGAGCCAGAAAAAAAAAAAATCAGATCACCCATGTCATAGGCCAGTGCCTTAAGCACTTTCTATAGCACCTTACACCATGCTCCTCCACCCACAAGCAGCATGCATAGAGCACCACTTAAATATAGCCATGAATGGGGGGATAAGGGCAGCAGTCAAATAGCACACAGCAGAACACCTTTGAAGAACTTTTGTCAAGAACACTAGAGAAAAAAACTTTATGGAAAAATCCCACTGGATATTTAATACCCACTCAGAGTAAAGAGAAACCTCAGCATTTAACGTTTCCTCTGAAATAAGCATTTGTTAAATATCAGTGCCATTCATGGCTTTGCACAAGGCAGTCTCCAAACCACATACACAATATAAACCAATAAAAAAAAAAAAAAAAAAGACTGATGAATAGCAAGCCTAAATTACTTGGAATTTGGTTTAAAAAGTTCAGAAGGATGAAGGACTGTACTAGGACTGGAAACTTTAGCTTGAGGGAATCCAGGTTAAACAAGGAGCGAAGATAGCTAAGGGCTTTAAAAAAATATATAGATCTTAAATGTAAAAATTTTCACTTGATAGGTAACCATGGTAGAGAATCCAGGCTGGCAGTCTCTGATCCTAATTGATCAAACCAGCGAGCAAATGTCCTTTTGCAGTCTGAAGTGAACAAGCTGCAAGAACCGATGCAAGGCTCAAAAATCTGAGCGCATTAAAATAATCAAACCTCATGATTCCCCAAAAGCTTGTCTGAGGTCATCATGTTATAAATAAGGGTTTGGCCTGCAGTGTCTTCCAACTGGAAGAGTATATAGAAAATGTGATGCAAAAGTAAGGACATGGTCAAAGGCCACGTCAAGATTTGTAACTGTATTCACAGCTCCCTTCTCATGTCTCTGCCTCAGTGATTCGGGAGAGCGTCCTCATGCCCCAACCCACCGACCCCACCTGTTTTCTTGGGGTGGAGGTAAAGTTGGCTCAGATGCATCCAACTGGCAATATCTATCTTCTCATGAGGGACAACACTTGTAGGGTCCATTGGGGGAAGGAGAGATTTTTCACATCAGCTGCATTAGATTGAAGCCTCATCCCTTTTGGTGAAAATTCATCCAATGCAACTGATGTTTAACATTACTTGGAAATAAATGTCAAGCATTTTAGTAATTTTTTTTTTTTCTAAAAGTCCTCCTTAGGGCCTGACCTGTCTGTCACCCCCCCCCCCCCCCCCAAAGTGCTTGGTAGACTCTTGGGATACTCTCCCCCACCCCTTTCTAAATCCTGGACAATTTCTGTCCCCTCATTTCTAGAGCAGAGTTTCCATTTTTTTTCCCCCTGTTGTATGGGTCACATTAACACAGATGCTCTCATGGATAAGCTCTCGCCCATTAAGGATCTCATACGATCCCTATGGCAACTACAGCAATTGCTTACATGGAAAGTGATCAATTAAATTATGTCCAAAAATATATTAGTCTGAAATAAAGAGTGCCAGCATCTTACAGTCAGCCAGCTCGTCATGGACCACTGTCTGGATCCTTCTGTTCTAAGGAACAACTGCAGGACTCCCTGAGGGTACAGTCACCACCCAAATACTCTGTTTGACTGGTTGTTGCTGAGGGGTGTACACTACTTCCACCAGTTCTAGGGCACAAGCTACCGTGATCAGCCTTTCCAAAACACACTCAACTCAGTGAGTTGAGCACCTGATCTGTAAAATTAAATCAAGGTTTCCCTACACAGCAGTGCAGAGCACTACCCATTATCTATCACAGATCTATAGTCTAGACTGATCAGAATTATTAACCCTAGTTTGCCACTCTCAAATTAACATTTCTTAATAGTCCCGATGTACTATCAAGGATTTCCTCCCCCCCCCCCCCCCCCCAGCAGATAGCACAGCTTTGTAGGTTGAAGAAATTTTCCTAGACATCATCTTCTACCCTTTGAACTCCTGGGGAAAGGTAAGAGAAGATTTCTATCTTCTGATTTACCAATTCCTGGACTTTACCCTAGTCTCCCATAACCAAATCCTTCAAAATGATTCATTCCCATTCTTTTTATTTGGAATGTATTGTGAAATGGCTGTCAATTTGTGGATATGAACTCCACAAAGGAGAAGAGTGGAGAGGGGGAAAAATAGGCTTCTGAAAATAGAGTATACAGCAAAGAATAGATAAATAAATCAAATCTCACTCCAACTGTATAACCATTACTCACCCTCTTCCTCAATTTGAGGGAAACAAGTATTTGGTGTAACTGGACAGTACAGTATTTGCAATGCGGACCTAACATTTGCAATGAAGATCAGTGCCCGCATTGTGGAAGGTGCTGGACAGAACATACTGTTCTTCCCTACAGAGTTGATATTTAGTCTTAAACTAAAGTATCAGTCAGAGGCTAAGCATGTGACTTTTCCATGCTTATTCTGCACTGGCTCATTTGAACACTTAGGGCTAAATTTTGCCCTTGGTTAGTCACAGCTCCTACCAATATCAATGGGCTATACCTCACAAAGGGCCAAGTTATGCCTGTGTTTTAAAAAGACTAATTTTTAAAATTATTTAAACAAGTTATCTAAACTAAATAATTTTCAAACAAAATACACAAAACCAACAAAAAAAGGGTTAAAGATTCTGGGGAGGGGGAACCCAAAACATTTTTCAGCATAGCTGCCGCCTAGCTTGACGGGGTTTCCGTCATATACAGGGTTTACAGTTTGGTTCAATGACTTAGCACCCCCACTATTCAAACTGTTCCAGTGCCCCTGCTTTTCAGATGCCCCAGATGCTTGTAGTCACACACTTACAGAGCAGCCAATGGCTTCTCTCCCAACCATTCAGGAGAAAAGAAGATACACCAGTGTTAAAGAAGTTAAGTGTTCATAAACTGAGATACATTTCATAACTTGCTTACAGCACATGAGGAGTCATAACTAGCTTGAGATTGGCATATGAATTGTTCTGTGGAAAATTCTTATTGCCTCTGAGACCCTGCTATTCCGAGTTATTTGACAGGTTAAGGGAAATCATAATTAAAAAGAGAGACAAATAATAGCCTGTGCAGTGTGGTGCACAGAAATAAGTAGAACCATTTCATTTAAACTCTGGTGAGCTTTTAATTGCCTGGATTGCATTGTGAACCAGCCTAACGGTTGATTGCTTCCATTATGCTCTCTTGTTCTGTGCCATTCATCCGCACAGGCTCAGCTTCTGTAGTTAACACAACAAAGTAACCGCAACTCCATAACACCCAGGGTTTTTTTTTTTTTTTTTAAATGAAAAAAGTAAGGTTTTTGAGTACTGTGAATGTGGATTCTTGTGTGTACTTTTGAGCTAATTTTGCCATAGGAAACAAAACTTCACCCCCGCTTCTAAAGACATGTATGAATCAGATTTTTTTTTTTTTTTTAAAAAGGGTGAATGCTGGGAGGGGGGAAGTGGGTAGAAGAGAAGGGGAGGTTAGATGGATGCTAAAATAGGAACGCAGTCCCACAGCTGGGAGCACTGACACAGATTAAAGAATTTGGCCAACATGGCCATTCGATTGCCAGGAGACACCAAACAAAAGATTCCCCCCCTCCCCTTTTGAAAGCTAGATTGGGCCTAAAAGGTTGTTTCTCTCTCTTCATTGGCCCAGAGCATCCCAGCAGGCTGTAGCCCCCTAAGGGACAACAATGCAAATACATGTCCCCCCGATCTCAGGGACTGGAACTGCTTCTTAACTGTGTTCCTACCCCTACACCCCTCCCCCTTTTTTTTTTTTGGAGCAATGATGCTGGGAACCAATTTGATTCCCTTTTTCTCCAATGCAGCTGCAAGGCTCAGAGATACTGACATTTTTCCACTCTTATCAGTTTAATTACAGTTACCATGGCAGCAAAGTGCTAGTGCTTGGCAAAGGCCAACAAGAGATTTGCAAGACTGAGTTCAATTTTGATGCAGCTCACATGCAAAATAAAAAAAAAAAAAATAAGAAACATACATACACTCTACAACAAAGGATCCCTTTTGGAGTTAGACGCTCAAGCCTTTTGTGCTAGTTTCTTTTCAAGCCACACAGGGATGGGGCAAGGGGTTGCAAGAGAACGTACAATATTTGTTGCACCTAGCAAGATTAATTGGCTTAGGCAACAGTCCTACAAAACTGTTCAAGGAAGCAATATTTCAGATCTCTTTAGAACACACACACACACACACACACACACACACACACACACGCTACAGCAACATATTTAGAAAGAGGAATCAGCCTTTTTAACACTCCCGGAGTGTGCACGGTTGTTGCTAAATGCAAACTAAGACACGAGATCGAAACCTTACCAAAACTTTTCTCCTTTTTCTGCATGAGTTGACTTAAGAGTGCCTAGATAGCGCCTTCTCACTGAGCACCAAATCCCAGCCAAAGTAGCAAGTGTTTCCCCAGTTTGGGTCAAACGAGGAGCCTTATGCGCTGCAGCCAGACACACACCAGACAGCCGAAGCTAGGCTATTGTGCAGGCACTTTGGAGACGGGGGTGGGGGGGGAGGTGGAGGTTAGGGGACTGGTGGAACAAACACAAGCCAAGCCACTTGCAATGTAGCGGTGTGCAAAATGATGGCGAATGACAAAACCACATGCTTCCCTAACTCTGCCCGTAATCCTATAATCCCAGCGGTCTCTTTTAGCTTCGTGGTAACAAATGGATTTGATTAAACTGTCACATGCAGCGTTAGCCTACCATATCATGTTCAATATGAAAAAGATCATAAATAGATCTAGTATTTCATAACACCAATCTGGCTACCCCTCCCTCCCCCCCTACATACCCCATGTAAAAAAATATACTGCATCAGCCTGATTCCCAGTATATTACCCCCTGTGTATTTGGCATTTCACTATCCCCTCCCCTCTCACCTCATTTGCTTTGCCTTACAAGCAAGCAAAAAAACCAAACATCCATTTGTGGCAATGGAGGAGTGCTAATTGCTGGACCCCAGCTAAGGGGTTCAAAATAATAACAGAGCCAGTTACAAATTAAACTGTTATAAAGGGAGGTGCTGGGATTAAAGCAGAGGGGGAAAAGCCATCCACCTGCTCCCCTGATAATTGAGAATACATTTCGAGACGCTCTGGAAGGAAAAATAATGTGGAAATTGCTGCAGTTTCATTGTTAACTTTGCTGTTTCTCCAGACATTCAGCTGCGCGGGTCTCGCTCAGCAGCCTCCGATTGCATGTATTTCATGTCTCATCATTAAAATAATGAAGCCTCACATGATTTAAACAAAACAGTCTCGGCAGAGCTGCAGCTTGAGTGAAAGTTGCAGTGCAGAGACGAGTGAGTATGTGTGTGTTGCAGCCCCAGTTTATGACTCATTAGGAGAGAGAGAGAGATGCGCGCACACATAAATGACCCAAAGCTTGTGTATACAGTTGCCTCACTTACCTTCTCAATTAAGCGATACAGGGGGAGGCAGTTCAATAAGCACAGTGGCTGCTTTGTAGCTTTTCTCCTTGGGAAAGGTCAAAAAGAAGCATTGTTTGGGGGGAAAATATAGGGATGAGCGGGAGAGATGGGGGGGGGGGGGAAAGAGAGAGCTCGCTATTCTTTTAAGTTTAAAATAATGAGGTCCTCAAGGATCCGCCAAGTAATTGTGTTGACCGCATCCGAGCTACAGGTGTCCTCCTTTTAGTATCTTGCAATCCAAGGCTGTCTCTCGCCGTCCTGGCTGAAGACAACTTACCTAAAAGCAGCGTGTGAGGAGCCGCGTTGAATGAAGTCAGGGCTTTATCAGCTGCAAAATGCAATCCCTTACCAGCCAGACATAATACAGCAAAAGAAAAGGTCACTCGGTTATTACTGAGCCAGCAGAGCCCAAGCAGCTCTCATGGAAGACCACAGAGAAAGCAGCTCCCTTCCGATTTAAGGCTATTTACCTCTCTTCCCCCACCACACACACACACACACACACACCCCCCTTCCTCTTTCTCCCCCCTCCCGTTCTGCAGCTCACTCAAGTACAGCCGCCCTCGGAAAGTGCAAAGCAGCCAGGAGACAGATTGGGCTTTGTTGGTAATTTCCCATGGTGAAAATTTACAAGCCTGAGAGTGCAGTCAGCAAAACCACATGCATATGCTAGACACAAACACCAGGGACAACCTCACACACAAAAAGTGACCTCTACAGAAGCCATTCAGCATCAGCCTCCCCAGCCCTCCAGAAACAGACTCAGGGAAAGAGAGGGAGCATGCACCTCCCACCCCCCAAAAAAGTTGCCCAGGCAAAACAGGAGGGAGGGGGGGGGGGGGAAGGCAAGATATTCATCTCTCTGGCGCTATTAATTAATCCCAGGAAAGATCCCTAAAGTGAACGTGAAAATGGATTCAATACTAACTCTGCGCTGCCAAAATGGGATTTTCAGAACTGCCTGAGAACTCCAGTGTTTTAGTTCCTTCCTCAGCTGGTCCCTAACTTCCAAACACATCCCCCAACTCCCAATCAGACCTGCCAAGGGCGTCGATCTACCACGTACTCACATTGGGCACCGCTTGGCATATGCCACTTTAAATTATTATTTTAACTGACTGCCCAGGTCTCAGGATAATCCCCCAGTGAACTCGTTTCTCTGTATGGGATGCCCAGCCCAAAATCTAATGCGACTCTATGCTTAAAGGGTGGAGGGACAGAATCACATGTTTAAATCTACTTGACCAGAAGACAGACAGACCAAAATATATATATGTATAATAATAGGTAAGGCATACTTGCTAATCAGCTTTGTAACCGTGACTGAACGTTTCTTGGCTTTCTATAATAAAAGATGTTGAGCCTAGTCTACTGTAAATAAAGTAAAAAAAAAAAATTCCACAGCATCTTCCTTTAAGAGCCATCTGCACTTGGAGAAAGACCAGATTAAGAATTTGTGAAGCCAGTTTTCAGACTTCAAAGTGATTCTCTGTTGTCTGCTATTAGGAGCACCACACTAGATTTCCACAAAGCTTTGAAAGATGTCAGCTTACAACATACCCTAAATTTGAATGACACTCATATTATGGAAGTCTTTCAAGCCCCAAGATTTAAAAGCATTGAAGTACTCTGCCACCATCCCCTCCCCCCATATCATCCAGCAGTTCTAATAATAATTAAAAAAAAAGTCAAATCAACCTAGTAAATGCACACGCTTGGGGGGGGGGGGCACACTTAGATAACTTCAGTACCTGTGAGTATTCCTGATTCTGTTGCCCTCCTCTC